ATATGAATAACATGATTGTGTGCTGGGGTCAGTTATAGGTCAGAGGAGAATTTACTGCCTGAAGCAGCTACTGCATCACAGCGGTGAAAGGCTGCCCTTAACCCCTTATCGACGCCACCGGAACGCCCGTGTTTTAAGAAAGACAGTGGGAGTTCCTTCAAGTTAGGAAGTGGGTCTCCAATGTCTGTAGAGACCTGCCCACAAATGCCTCTTTCGAAAATCTTTGGGAAACCTAGAAGCTGGGAATGCTAAAGACTGCCACATCTCCAGGGGGGCAGGCATAATGCCCTCACGTGAGTTACATGTGATCTTGGAATGAAGCCGTCTGCAGTTAACTTCATTGTTCTGGGTCCTGCCATGCTGGCTGGGGAGCTGAAAGCTGTAAGCATGCTGAGAGTTTTCCCAAGTACTGTTCGCTTTGTCTCCATTTAATTTACCAACCGAGGAGCGCATGCTGCCTTCCTTTTAGGGGTGAGGGGCACTTGGCCCAGAGGGGTTAAGCAGCTGGCACTCTCATGTAGTAAGTACAGTCAAAAGGGCTCACACCCAAGCTTCACTGAGTCCAAAGAACCCCTCCCTCGTGGTCGCAAGTTCATGAGCTGGTCCCCACCAGATACCGAAGATCACAATGGGAGAGCGCAGGCGGGAAATCTGGCCAGGCTGAGGGGTCCCTGGAGTCCCGTCTCAGTCACAGTTCAGGACCCCTCCCTGCCTCACTTCACTGGGGGCTGGGGGAGGGGCGTAGCAACACTGACGCACGTGCGTGGGGCAGTCCAGAGTCAGCCTAGGGGTCCTTGGAGGAAGGACGAAGCTGTGTGGAGGAGGCAAGGATGCCATTCTGATTGGCAGCCCCAGGGCGAAGGAGCTCTGGAAGGGATCTGGGAGGCTAGCCGCCGCGAAGGCCTATGGTCGCGTGGGAGGAGGGTGCGGCCCCAAGGCAGGATTGTTTACAAGCACCTCAGGCCTTTTTAAAGCACCAGCGGATGGCGCCACCTCCTTCTCTTCTACTTGAAATCCCCTCTGAGTCACAGGACCCTTCCAGCCACCTGCAGCCCCCAATCTGCTGCAGAAAATGCAGCACAGCCCGGGAGCAGAGGGTTGGGAATCCAGCTGTGATGTGGACCAGCTGTGGGCAGATTGCTTAGGAGCTCTGCATCCTCCTGGGGGGGGGGGGGGTATGATACCCATCTTATGCAATTCTTGTCCAGCCCTGTGCAGTGTTTAGAAAGATTGCCTGACACCTAAGAAAGACTCGGATACTGTTAGTTTCTGAGTTCTGAAAAAATAAAGGCACTGTTGTTGCCCTTTTCTGCTCATGTTTCTAAATACGATCCTGGTAAGGCGTGGTGATAGCAAGTCTTCGAAAGCATGCCTGCCAATGTCTCTGCTTCGCTTTTACTGTAGCCCTACTACGTGTCCAGACACCGTGCTTAGTATGGAAAATTAAATAAAATACAACCCTTCATTTCTGGGCCCTTAGATTCCACTGAGGAGATAGACTCACAAATAAATTACATATCGCTTACTAAAAACTGCCTCATTGGCAAGCAGGGAGGCTTGAAAAAGCCAAGGGAAGGGTTCCTGGTAGTTCATTGGTAGAATGCTTGCCTAGTCAATTTATGGCCTTGGCTTCTGTCAACAACAATAGAAATACACACACACACACACACACACGCACGCACGCACGCACGCACGCACGCACACCCCAGGAAACATTGGGGCCAATGACATGGCTTCAGTGTGAAGTCACTTACTCAAGTCTGGTAATCAGAGCCGGTCCCTGGAATCTACATTAAGGTGGAAGGAGAGATCCAACTCCACACCTCTCTGACCTCTACACTCAGGAGCTATTGGATGACCACTGTGGCAAACATATCATAGACACGCTCAATAACAGAAAGAAGCTAAGTTAGGAAGGCAGGAAGAATACAGAGAATGGGCGGTGGGTCCAGTGTGGAATCACATTTAATTTCCAAAGGAAGATACTCAACATGAATCTAAAAGGCCAGCAAAGTGGTGACCTAAAGCTTGCTTGCTTAATAAGCTGGGACTACATTTCCCATAATCCCCTTTGCCCCGTGGATTCAGCAGCGAAGAGAAGTTAAGGTGTAAGGGAACTTGTTAGAGTAGGGTCTGGGCTATACAATTCATGTGGGAATCATGATGCGAGCTGTATTTAGAATAACGTGTAGCACCCAAGAGCAGTGGAGGGCAGTTATATTGGTAACCAGACTTGTTGTTTTGCTGTTTCTAAACTGATGCTTACTGCTGTAGTGCTTTGGACTCCCCTTGGAGGCCCAGTTTGCAGCTGCCTCAGCTGGGGCTTGGACTCCCTCCTTCGGTTTCTGACATCTGGCCATCTGTTTAGATCGGTGATGCAAGCTGCGAGTTTCCCCTGCAGCATGCTGACCCAAGAGGTATGAGTGCCCACTTCAGTTCCCATTTCCTCCTCCTGGCTTCCAAGGTATGCAGGTGGCATCTACTTGGTTTGCTCTCCCCGGCTTCACATCCCTTTTCCCTTCCTAACTGTCAGCCTGCTGACTGCATTCATAGCCCCAGATGCAAAAATGGCCACATTAACTGGTTATGCATCTTCTACAATTGTGTGGGATAAACCCCTTGCTTGGTATCTTCACGCTGAACAGCCTTTGATGGCTAGGCCAGCTAAAGATAGCTGCGATAAAATAAACCAGGAAGAGGGAATGGAATAAGCACATTCATGAGATGGTGGGGGCTGTGTGAAGGCTTCAAATCCCTAGAAATAAAAGGAATAGTTGGGGAAGGAAGATGAGGGTGTGGAGGGAGAGAGTGGCAGGTGGTGTGGGGAAAATACTTAGCCAGCACAAGGACACCTGAATGAAAGAAGCTTCTACACATTTGTGAAGGATGCTGTGACTAGCTGGTGAGATCCGCTATGCTGTTTGTTGTTCTCTGAATAATGCTCCACATGATGCATCCCTCGAACACAGTGCTCTCTTTGAGCAATGCTGTTTCCTATGGGCGTATGACAAGGATTAGGAAATGTATGGTCTTGCATTGCTCGACGACGACGAGGAAACATTCTAAGAAAGGGATTTTTTGATTGGGGTCGGGGGTAGTATTTGTCACTGTGTGAGCATCTTAGACCACTTACACAAACCTGCATGGAATAAGCATGGCTTTTTGTGGCCTTTTGATGCAGCCAAGAAACAGTAACGGCAATATGGACGGCTATCAGCGTCACATGGCCGGTGACTTTACAGTCAGCATTTTAAAAGGAGGAGTGTGAGCTAAAAGAACGATAAAAGTATAAAACAAATATACACAACAGTAATGTAGTCACTTGTGGCTTCCATGTACCCTGCTCACCTGTATGTGTTTCACTTTAACACAGAGTGTCAATACAGACATGTGATGAATGCTGTGCTATGTAGTAATGACTGCAATGACTCTAGATGGTGGAAATATTTTAGCTCCATTATTACCTTCATGGCCATCATTTTATGAACCTGTCATTGACTAAAATGTCATTATGAGGCATGTGACTGATTGGAACAGATATGCTAAGAGTAATGAGCAAACTGTGTATTTCAGTAGCTTTATGCCACAAAGAATTTTTCATGTTTTGCTGGTCAGAGTAGCACTGTTGCTGTCTCTGGACTCCACCGATTCTTTTTATGACACAGGGTTTTGCAAGGAAACTGAGGCTGACCTGTAAGCCCTGATGCTCTTGCCTTAGTCTTCTGAGTACTGGGACCATGATGCTCCACTATGCTTAGCTCACTGTGTGTGTGTGTGTGTGTGTGTGTGTGTGTGTGTGTGTGCGTGCGTGCGTGCGTGCGCGCGCGCGCACGCACATGCATGCACACGTTGCTGGAGACTGAACCCAGGGATTTGTGCATGCAGGTACACTACCCCTGAGCTACACCTCCCCTAAGCCTTGTCTGTCTCTGATACTGACACAATATGTGATCTAAGAGATTGCTAAGAGAGGGGACACCATGGTAGACCATCCTGCTGGTCAGGAGGGGGTGGGCCATTGAAGTGACTTATATGACGTCTACCAGCTCGACATTCATGGCACCCAGGCATGCTTCCCTAACTGCTAGCAGGCTGGACAAATGTGGGTCTGGAAAAGAAAAAGAAAGTGAGATTTGATGCACACATGGTATTGTATCTGCCACTACTGTCAGCTTAGAAGCTGTTATTTACAGCTCCCTTGCAGTGACAGAGCAGCTGTGTTCCTGCAAGGCGGGATGTGGAGAATGCTTTGTATTACAGATGCTCACACCACTGGAAATAAAACATCCTGAGCTGGCGAGGCAGTCAGTCCATCGCATCTTCTGAACAGAGAGCACAGCACTCACACAGCACACTGTGCAGAATTGACTGTTTCTGCATATGCTCTCAAGGCTCTGGTTGCCCCTCAGCCCCAAGGAGGAAGAGGCTGCACATTACCAGCCTCAGAAAAAAACCCAAATTCCAAGTTCAGGTTCTAATGAATGTATATCAATTTCACGCCTTCATAAAGTTGAAAAAATTTCCTTTTAAATCATCTAAAGCCGGGATCCATAATCCTCTACATTTTCTTAAACCAGTCAGTCTGCTGTTGATAAACACTCCCAATAGGGGAGCAGGTGAGTGAGTTCACTCTCCAGGATTAACACCCAAGTGCTAAATGGTTTAGGTTGATGTCAGCTAATAAAAATGCAGAGTGGTTACTTTGTTTGTTTGTTTGTTTATGTTGAGACATGGTCTCCCTGTGTAGCCTCTGCTGCCCTTAAATTCGCCACATAGACAACAATGGCCTTGAACTCAGAAATCCACCTGCCTCTGCATCCCAAGTGCTGGGGTTAAAGGTGTGCACCTCCACACCAGGCTAGAGAAGTTACTTTCTATGATTATGCAAGTAGAAACACAATGGTTCTGGTGCTCAAGGGCATGGGTGCTCCCAAGTTCTGGTCTTGTTGGTTCTTCACAGTCCCACCAACCAATGGAGAGACTGCCACAGGCAAAATACCACAGGAGTTATCCTGTTTCTTTATTTACTTTCTCAAACTGTTATACAGAAACATAAGGATTATATACACCAATGAAGAACCTGTACAGTGTCTCCATATGTATATCTTTGTATACATATGCAATGTGTTAAACACGTTCCCTCAATTATTTATCCTTTCCTCCTGGTAAAAACATTTATTACTCTTCCTTTTGGAGACGAACACTAGGTGACTGTCATCTATGGACCATGAGCTGTGCGACACCACCAGGGCTTCCGAACCCCTATCTAACTGTAAACTAGTGTACAATGGTCAACTTCTCCACCCCCTCCCTCTCCCTAACAGCTGTTTTGAGGTTTAGGGTTTCTTCATAGACACAGTGTTGCAAATAATGGTAAGATGTGGGCCAGAGAAAACCATCAGTCTTGCACTTTTTCCAGCCCAGGATGGACCAAGTAGGAGAAATCAAATTGTTTATTATATCAGCTGTCACACATGTTGTGTCATGAAGGGAAGGCAAGGGGCCAAAGCTTTGGAAATAATGACTTTCCTTCCAGTGTCCAAGTAGTGTAAACAGTAAATTTTCTTGTAATGTCTCAGAGTCGAAATGATGCTTGAAACAATAAGATCACACAAAATACAGTAACGCTTTACTTTTCTTGTAGAGAACTTTGGGGATGGAAAGCATGATATTGCAGTGGGTAATTTTATATGTCAACCTGGCCAGAATAAGATACTGAGATATTTGATGAAATGTTACTCTAGGTCTTGCCATGAAGGTATATTTTTTTAGATGAGCTAATAATTTAAACCATTAGACTGAGTAGAGTAGATGACCCTTCATAAAATCTTTAATCACTTGGCTTCCTTAGAATCGATCAATCAGTTTATCTTTCTGCAGCCATTATTTTGGAGATAAGATCTGACTGTAGCCCAAACTGCCCTAGAACTCACTATGTAGCCCAAGCAGCTTTAAACTCATGATGATCCTCCTGCCTCAGCCTCCTGAGGGCTGGGATTACATACTTGAGAGGCACTCCCTGTTCTAGCTCCAACTTAATGCTTTTGTTTCTCTGGACAATCCTGACTTATAGGAACATCTTTGTTTTTCTGAGCAAAGAAAACAGATAGTGGTCTACAGAGAGAGTTCCAGGATAGCTGGGGCTGCATAGAGAGACTAAACTCTTGAAAACAGAAAAACAAACAAACAAACAAACAAAACTCTGTCTTTAGCCAGGTGATGGTGGTGCACGCCTTTAATTCCTGCCCTTGGGAGGCAGAGGCAGGTGAATCTCTGAGCTTAAGTCCAGCCTGGTCTACAAAGCAAGTTCCAGGACAGCCTGGGCTACACAGAGAAAGGAAGAAAGAAAGAAAGAAAGAAAGAAAGAAAGAAAGAAAGAAAGAAAGAAAGAAAGAAAGAAAGAAAGAAAGAGAAAGAAAATTAAAGAAAAAGCAAAGCAAATGGACAAAATCCATTAATTTGCACAAAGCCATTTAGAATTTCACACCTACAAAATGTTCTTTGAGAAACAAGAATCCATTTAGGCATCTGAGGTTTCCTATTCTTCTGGTTAGCTTGAGCTGTCACTTGATACAGCCCAGTTACCCGAGGGAGTCTCAATTAGAGGACTGTCTTAATCAGATCAGCCTGTAGGCATGTCTGTGGGGCCATTTTCTTGATTGTTGATTGATGTGACCCAGTCCACCGTGGGCAGGACCCATCAGGGAGTGTGGGATATGCGAGAAAGTAGCTGAGTAGAAATTAGGGATCAAGATGGTAAGTAGACTTCTCCCTTGGTTCCTGCCTCTGCTTCTGATGTCCCCCAGTGATGGACTGTGACTTGGAAGTATAAACTAAAATTAGCCTTTTGTCTCCTAAGTTGCTTTGTGGTTTTTATCCCAGCAACAGAAAGCAAACTGTGACACATGTCCATATACCTTAGGCCATCTTCTGCTTTTCCCATCTTCTATAATCCTTTGTGATTTCTCCTCACTTCTGCTTGAGGGCAAATCAGCCGAATCCCACTTGAGTTCAGGCAAATAAACCCAGGACTATCTGCTCTTCATTCCACGGACAGAGCTGTTCTTGCTCTGAACTCTTATTCCGCCTCTGATAAAGAAGTAAACTAATGTTAGTACGTGTTAGATACAGTCCCAGAAACAAAAGGAATCGGCGCTAACCAGAATTAAATAGCACTTGGGCACAAGCCAATGGAAGAACTGAAAACGTAAAATATGACGGAGGCTGTCTGCAGCCTGCCTCTCTCCACTCGGGCTTGGCTGGAGTTCTGACGCTCAGGGGGACGCAGTGCAAGGAGGATGGCTGAGCGCTGGAGCTGGTCGGCTGCACCAAGAGGAAAGTGTCAGCTTTATGGAGGTGATTTGTGCTCTGTGAGGATTACTTCCTAAATACCGTGAACAGAAGAGCCCCAGTCTGCCACGTAAAGTGGTGAGCTGCCCAGCAGCAGCCTCCCGCTGTCAGAGATGGGACGCGTGGTTCTAAGATGCTCAAATGAAGCAGAAGGGAGAAGCAGTGAGGAATGGTACAGAGGATGACATCCAACCTAGGAGACGTTGTGAGAGGCAACTTGTTCTTATTACGTTAGCAGACAGTAAGTTTGAAAAGATTAAAAAGGAAGGGTAGGGCAAGGGAGAAAATGGAAGGTTAGGGGTTAAAATCCCCCCCCCCTTTGTATACTCCCCTTTTTTGCCTTCTTTGGAAGCTGGGGTAGGAGTGTATTTCTTCTAGATTGAAATCCCTGTCATAAACCTCATAATCTCAGCAATGCGGGTGCCACCAGTCATCCCACGAAATGAAAAACTACAGCAGAGGCGGCTGTGGCCGGGGCTGCTGTAGCCAACTGAAGAGAGGCAGTGATCTAGAACTAAGCCTTCTGCGGGGCCTGATGGTGTGCTTCTGTAATCCCTCTGCTCTGCAGAGGCCAGGAAGGAGGGATCATCGTGAGTTCAAGGCCAGCCTGGTTTCCATAGTGAGTTTCATCCCAGCAAGCAAGCAAGGAGAAACAAAAAACAAAATGAAAACAAAGCTCAGGAAGCAGAGGCAGGGGGATCTCTATGAGTTCGAGACCAGCCTAATCTACATACCGAATTCCAGGCCAGTCAAAGCTACATAGGAAGAGCCTGTCTCAAAAACAAAACAAAATGTAAAAAAAAAATTAAAGTTAAAAACTAAGACTTTTACTTCAGTAGGAGCAGAGGGGAACAGAGGAGAAATGGAAATTGGAGCCAGGTGTGGTAAGGCTCATCTGTAATTCATCACTAGGGAGGCTGAGGCAGGAGACCAGCCTGGACTATGCAGCAAGACCCTGTCTCCAAAAAACCAAAACCAAAACCAGCTAATAAAACAACAATAAAATCAAATACACACACACACACACACACACACACACACACACACACACACATGCACATGGGAATATGATTAACTGAAAGCACAGAGGGATGTTACATTAGAGAGAGGATGCCCTTCCTGGGCCGAGGCAGCCTTGCTATATGGGATCTTCATGGACTATTTCCTGCTTTCCGAGGACAATGATAGCTTTGGATTTACACAAGTGCCATGCAGGGGCTATGTAGGGGTTCTAGGCAGTCTCCACCTCTGAATACTGAGCCTAGGACCTTTTCACTCATCATATTTTTGTTAAGAAATCTGGCCATTTTCTCAGGAGATATTCTAAAATCAGCATTTTAATATATGGCCTGTACATTGAACAATATGAGGCTTGTTCTCAGCTTTTGTTGTTGTTTCTAATTTTGTGTCTTCGGGCAAGTTAATAATTTGTCCAGGCTTCTATCTACACGGTGAAGAGCCGAAGAGGTTTTTTCTCTAACTCTCTGTCACGTAAATATTCTGTGATTCTGTGAAACTAGGTTGAGGGGTCCCAAAGCTTCAAGCACATAAACCTTACCTTAAAGTTAAGCCCAATTCCATCATACTAGTCAAGGAAACATTTATAGACTACCTAGGGTGTGCAAGAGCATACTTGTTTGCCTGCTGTGCAAAGCAAACAACAGCTTCATCAGGAGGGCTGGAAGACAGGCATGAAGTAAGCAGACAGAATGCCCAGAACTCATGGAGGGAAGCGCCTTGTTCTTCCCAATGGGAGGGTGGTGTTGCTAGACCTGAGGTAGGGTCTCTACCCTAAAAAGAAGGAAAGTATAGCAGAGCCCCAGAGCACAGGACTCACACGGTGCCAGAGCCAAAGAGAGCTCCGTCAAGGAAGGAGACTCAAGAAATATTTGGGAAGGACTAGCATCCCTCTTGAGGCATGCTGTGGTTGGATTCATTTTGGCCCCCAAAGGTTCATGTGGTAGAAGCTGGGCATGGCCGTATTGACATGACAGAGCCTCTCAGAGGTGCAGCTAAAGGGCGGGGAACCATGGCGGCTCTACTCTCAGAGAAGCACTCATACCTATTCCTTGAGAGTGGGCTAGGTTTTGAGGAACAAAGTTGGTGGGTGTAAGAGCAGGATGGTTTAATGCCTGGGACCTCTACTGGGACCTGTTCATGATACTTTTTGCTTTGTTACAATGTAGAATGACACCCACCCCCAACTAGATGTGGTAGCCTGGTCTTTGGTTCCAGAATGCTGAGACAAAGTAGCCAGTCTCGTTTCCTTCACCACAGCAGTTCAGCAGAATGGAGTAAGATAAGAAGGATTTCAGAGTACGTATAGGAGAGAGAAGACAGGACGGAAGTGGTGAATGTGGGCAGTTTGCAGAGGGCCTTGGATGTAGAGCACAGGGCCTGTGCTTAACTGACTAAACATTTCTGAGGAAGGGCACCAGAGGACATTCTGTAATAGATCAGTCAGAAACTAGACAGGGAGAGAGGACCAGAGGCACACCCACTGAGTAAGACAGACTTCGGGGACAGCAGGGATAGGGCAGCTTCCTCACTCGTGACCTGGTTCAGCCAGTGGTTCATGCTATAAAAAGGGCATATGGTAAATGAATGTGGTAGAGGGATGTCATTGTCATTGGTATTGACTACGTGCCTCTGAAGGTGTCTGCTTGTTTTGCTGGGGTATCTCCCGGAAATAGTTTTGTTTTCCAAGTGTGTCGTTGACGCAGCCCACGGTGGGGAAGTTTGGCTTACCTCCCGTCCATCTCCTAATGCTCCTTTTTTTTTCCTTTGGCTGTCTAGTGGCAGCTTGGTACATGTCTGGGTGCTACAGCTCTGAAGGGTGTGGCTCTCAATGGTCCTTTCTTTACTTCCTACCAGGACACAAGGCAGGGGTGGAAATGAGAAAGCCAGGATGTCTTCTGGCTCTCATTGTTGATTTTTTTCTTTCTTTTTGTAAATGGGATTGCTGTATACATTCTTCACAATGCATTCTAAGGCCAGTGTTTACATGGCCATTGTTGTTAGACAGGAGGGTTTTCTTGACTTCTTTGTAAGTACCCCCCTCTTTTTATTTTTTTTCCAACCTCTAGCATTTTGCATGCCTTCTTTAAGTCATAGCTTCAGAATTTTTGTCCAGCCGGGCATAAGGACAAGAGTCCTGGATTGAGGACTCGAGGGACCTGCATGGTAACACAGTGGGTATTTTAGGGACAGACCCTAGGAGGAGATTAAGGGAGGTTAGTGTGGTACATTAATTCTTGTTTACCTGAGCTCAGGGCAGCTGCCAGCTCCATCCCTTTATGTGATCACTTCTCTTTCTGTTTTTGTCTTAAGGCAGTTGACCCCATTTTGCTGATTTTTTCACACTTTAATGTCTTTGGTAAGGATTCCACAGTTGCGTTTTAGCCAGCTCTGCTTCTCCGTTCTGTACTGTAATTCCAATGGGCCTCCCTTTTTGCAGGTTAAGCACCACACTATTCACACTTCAGTTCTGGGGATTTGGGCATGTTTGCACGCATGTAAGCACAAACGTCCATGTAAGTCCAACTTCCAAAGTTGCTTCAACTTGTTTGCAGCTATTTTCATAAGATTTTGAGTCTGTGTTTTGTTTGTTTGTTTGTTTTTCCTCCCTCAGATTTCCCGTCGGGGGCATTTCACTTTAGGACCAGTGTTTGGTTCACTGTAGAAGTGTGGATGGTCTCCTTACCCCTAGAACCGACTGGTGTTTTCAGTGGGCTTGGATGGGAAGCTGGAGCAGCCGGCAGGAAAGCTCAGGTTCTGGTAGTCATGCTCTTCTCGACAGCTGCAAATATGCTCAGAAGTGACATATTTGAAGTTGTTAGTAACATTGACATATAACTTTATGTGGTGGAACACAGATCACATCACACACAATCAAAGGAAAAGTAAAAACCACACTAGGGGACTTGCCACAAGTTGCCAAATTACACATTTTGGATTCTAAAATGTCTGTGGAAAGAGCTGTGAAGTCATCAAACACAGTATAGTTTTTAAGTTTGAGAAACAAGGAAAGATTCCGGTTAAGGGAAGTACCGTCAAGCAGGAGATGAGAGAGTGACAGAACTCTGAGGGCATATCCCCTGCTAGCTTAAAGACTGGCACAATGCAAACATTGCTGGTCGTCATGGTCTGGATAGGTGTTTCTAGGTTCCTGACTTCTTATTCAAAGTATACGCAGATCGCAAAGTAGCAAGGAAATGTTATTGATGAGAGAAGCAGGAGTACAGGTCAGATTCACTGCTGACGAGAGAGCAGACCCCTTGAGTTCAGAGTACCCAAGGGTTCCACATGGTTATTGTATGAGGAGGAGGACTTTGGCTGCTAGGGGTGTGGTGTGGATTGTTCTCTGTTTTGATTGACAGGCTTGGATTATGTAAGTTTTTCTCTATTGTACATGTCCTTTGTCATAATGCATCTGATTAAAATTATGATATGCATAAGATGGTATACAGAGGATTTTCCCTGAAAGTTCACTCAGAGGACATAGTTTGCTATATTGTGTATGCATCCAAAACCAGTCTAGGCTAGATTGCTCCCCTCATTTCTGTGTCTGGATATGTTCTAGAATACATTTGCATAAAACTATTGATGGTTGTAAGAGAAGAGAAACTTATTCCGTTGTTCAGGGTGTAGTATATGGCAGCTTGGTCAAGGAAGGAGGGTCCTCAATTGCTAGAATTGACAGGAAAGGGATATATATATATCCCAAGCCAAATGGAGTCCTAGCTTGCTAAGCAATTCTGTATGCTTGCCTGGATCAGAAGCAAGGGGGTGGCAGAGTTATATTTACAATATGGGACTCTTATTAGAGAGAGATGTTGGCTGCTTGGTGCTTTAGAGGAGCTCTAAGGTTCTGGCATAGCCATGAGCATGGCAGAATGAGTGGTGACCGAGGTGGAAGTTTGCTGAGCTAAGACGCTCGGGGGTCAGTGAGATGGGCAATGTCTTAGTCCCTGTTCTATTGCTGTGAAGAGACACCAGGACTGAGGCAATTCTTATAAAGGAAAACATTTAACTGGGGCCTTGCTTACAGTTTCAGAGGCTTAGTCCATTATCCTCATGGCAGGGAGCATGGCAGCACTCATGGCACTGGAGCAGTAGCTGAGAGCTACATCGTGATCTGGGGGGGGGGGGGGGAGAGAGAGAGAGAGAGAGAGAGAGAGAGAGAGAGAGAGAGAGAGAGAGAGAGAGAACATGTGAGAAAGGAGAAAGCCTGGTCCTGATATGAAGCCCACCTCCAGTGACACACTTCCTCCAATAAGTCCACACTCTACACCTACCCCACCAAGGCCACACCTCCTGATCCTTCTAATGCTTTCAAACAGTGCCACTCCCTGATGACTAAGCATTCAGATACATGATTCTATGGGGCCATTCTTACTCAAACAAGCCACAGGCAGACTTCTAGGTCGTCTATATGGAAACTGTTAGTGACACAGAGCAGGCTTGCAACTCAGAATAGAGACCAAAACTGAGCCAAAGAAAGATTGTGTCTCTTCTCATTGGCTTCTGTAATGAAAACTCAGTGTTTCATTGCTGTGGTTTTTGTGATGTGCCTCCTCCAAAAGTTTCAGCTTTGGAAATGAATTCTCCTTTTAGTATGTTGATGGCTTTTGGAAGTAGCACCATTGGGGGGCAGTTAAGGTTAGATGAGGTCATGAGGGTGGAGCCCCATGGTGACATTGGTGGCTTTCTGAGAAAAGGAAGACTTGAGGCTGACATATTGTTGCACTCTCTGGTCATGGGTTGTATACAAGTAAGTGAGCAAGGAGGCAGGCCCTCACTAGAAGCTGGTGCCTTGATATTGGACTTCTCAGCGTTCCAGAATATCAGCTGCAGCATAACTATGTGGTATATAGCAACATAAAACAGACTATGACAACAATCCGTTTAACACTCATTTAAAAATCAGGATGCCTTAAGTGCCAATCAAATAGCAGATGCTGTGAGTTGTTGGAGTTAGAAACACACAAGCAAACAAACAAACAAACAAACAAACCAGTTAGCTGCATCTCCAGCAAAGGAAGCTCACTCTAATTGGAGTGGGTGTTTATACTCGCTATCTCAAGCCACCTTGAAAGCTCCTGGAGCTGTAGGGCTATGGGAAGGGTGAAGCCAGCAGGCGTGATGTGCTGGGCATGTCAGATAACCATGGGGAAATGGGGAGCTCAGAGTCCACCCAAAGGATGCAGCTGGTAAATCTATTTTTGTAAAGATTTAGTGTGTGTGTATGTGTGTGTGTGTGTGTGTGTGTGTGTGTGTGTGTGTGTGTGTGTGTGTCTAAGTGTATGCCACTTGTGTGCTGGTGTCCTTGGAGGCCAGAAGAGGGAACTGGATCCCCTGGATCCCCTGGACCTGGATTTATAGGCAGTTGTGAGCCACCTATCATGGGTGCTTGGAACTGAACTCAGGCTGTCTAGAAAAGCAGAAAGTGCTCTCAACTCCTGAACTGTTTCTCCAGCCCCAAATGTTTTTCTTTTATTTATTAATTTAAAATTTTTTCATACAATGTATCTTGGTCATATTCTTTCTCCTCCCCCAACTCCTTCCATATACTCCTCCAACTTCATAATCTTTCTGCCTCTTAAAAACATAAGCAAACAAACAAAAAAGCACCAAAAGGAAAAAAAAACATATTTACCTACAAAAAAAAAAAGCAAACATAGAGTCTCTTTTGTGTTGGCCTGCTACTTCTTACAAGCATGCAACCTACCCGTAGTGTGGATGATGATATAGCCAGTATCACCCTGAAGCATGCAACCTACCCATAGTGTGAATGATATGCCCAGTATCACCCTGAAGCACAAAGCTTATTTTCCTTCTCCTAGCCTCTGTCAACTGTAAATAGCTTCTTGGTTACGGGGTGGGATTCCCTTCTCTGTGCTGGTATTTTGTCTGCCTTAAATTTGTGAGATCTTGTACATGCCGTCACAGTCTCTGTGAGTTCGTGTGTGCATCATGTGTGTCTGAGAAACACTATTTCCTTGGAGTCATCCTTCACCTCTGGCTCTCACAGTCTTTCCGCTTCTTCTTCCATTTAGATCCCTGAGCCTTGAGGGGTAGGGGTGTGATACACACATCCATTTAGGACTGAGTGCTCCAGAGTCTCACTTTCTTCACATTGTCCAGTCATGGGTCTCGGTGTGTAGTTTTCCCATCCCAGGACCTGCTTACAAATTACCACACAAAGGCTTATATTAGTTGTAAATGCTCGGCCAATAGCTCAGGCGTATTACTAACTAGCTCTTACATTTTAAGTTAACCCATATTCCTTATTTACCCTCTGCCACTTGGTGGTACCTTTATAAACATGGCATGTTCATCTCCTCCTCCCTCTGCATCTGGCTGGCGACTCCTCTGACTCCATCCTCTTCCTTCCCAGCATTCTCAATATGGCTTTCCCACCTAACTTCATCCTGCTCAGCTATTGGCCGGTCAGCTTCTTTATTAAACCAATCACAGTGACAAATCTTCACAGTGTACAAAAGGATTATTCCACACCTGTATTAATTCCCATCTACCACAAGAAGAAGCTTGCTGATGAGGGTTCAGCAAAACACTGACCTATGGGCATAGTGATATATTGTGAGAAGTCATCTTGCCTTGAAAAGAATTCAGACATGTAGGTTTATGACAGTAAAATGTTATAATTTTATGATTTTTTTTAGCAAACAATTTAAAAAGTTTTAAAAAAGAGCATACTAGTAGTTTGGTGGCCTCTGGTTTAAATAATTATTGCTGCAGGTAACTTTGGGTTTCTGACTTTGCCCTGAACCTGCTGGTGATGTCAGAAAAATGACATAACTTCTTTGGACCACAGTGACCCATCTATCATGAAGAGCAGTGACCTGTGCTAGATGCTAGAGTCTTTCCCTAGTTCTGTGATTCTGTGATTTTGGTATCCAAATAAGCTAACTTCCTTCCTTCTGCCAGGGTTAGGGAGTCTGAAGGCTGTCTCTTCTCTGCTCCTTTCTCTAAAATATATAGAGTGCTGTCACTCTCTAGCAGTGGTTCTCAACCTGTCTGTTGCAACCCCTTTGGGGGCTAAATGACCCTTTCATTGGGGTCACCTAAGACCATTAGAAAACACAGATGTTTACATTATGAATCATAACAGCAATAAAATTACAGTTATGGAGTGGCAGTGAAAATAGTTTTATGGTTGGGGGGTCACTACAACATGAGGAAATGTGATAAAGAGTGGCAGCATTAGGAAATTTGAGAACCACTGCTCTATAGGAATTCATCTGATGACTGATACTGGCCCAATTGCAATCAAGAAAAAGGGACCAGGTTTGGAGCTACTGAGATGACCTTTCCTTTCTGTCCCTTTCTCCTATGCCTGTGGTCAGGAGGGATGTGGGGGGTGGCTAATGGAATGGCTCAGACAGATTCATGCTGGAGTCATGAATCTGTTAGTGATGTCTGTGAGTGGGAGCATCCTTTTCCCTGGGCCCCAGCTGTCACCAGCTGTAGAGCTGGGAATAGAATGTCCTCCCGCAAGAACTTGGAAGCTTCCCCTTGCCAGAGGAGAACCATATCATCACATGCTGTGGTTGGAGCATGAAATGTGTCCCCTACTCCCAATCTGGTAGGCTCTTGTGTTGGAATGCTTGGTCCTCAGCTGGTAGAGTTGCTTTGGAACATTGTGACATCTTTAGGGAGTCTCACTGGAAGAAATAGATCAGTAGTGCTGGACCCTTAGGTTTTACTGTCCGGCTCCATTTCCTGCTTTCTGATTTTGGAATGTGACCAGGAGCCTCATGCAGTGCGGCCATGCCTTCCCCACTGTGCGGGACTGTATCCCCTCAAACTGTGAGCCAAGACGAAGCCTTCCTCCTTTAAGTTGCTTCTTGTCAGGTTCTCATTGTTACAGTAATGAGAAAAGTAACATATCTACTTGTTTGGTGCCCCCCCCCCCATGCCTCAACGACAGAAAGCAAAATGTCTGGACCAAGCTAGCATAAGACCGCTTTGACTAAATTATAACTTAATGATTTTCTTTCTTCAGCATTGTTGTCTTAAAAAATGACTATCGGTGGTGGCGCACGCCTTTAATCCCAGCACTCAGGAGGCAGAGCCAGGCGGATCTCTGTGAGTTTGAGGCCATCCTGGGCTACCAAGTGAGTTCCAGGAAAGGCGCAAAGCTACACAGAGAAACCCTGTCTTGGGGGGGGGGGGAGACTATCTTCAATGATTCAAGATGTCAGCTCAGTATTTCCCATGTGGCTAGTTACCCTGAAAGTCCTATAACGTTGACAGAGGAGTTGTTGGTGGGGCCAGGTGACTCTTCACTGAGCTTTGGCTTCACTGAGTGAGGCGAGCAAGAAAGCGGGAGTTGAGCTGCTTGGAGAGTTTTCAGAGGTTATGTAAAGAGTAGAGCTTCCCATGAGAAAGAAGAAGGGAAACCTAGGAAGGAAACCAGTGAAAAGGCTTCCTGGTGGATGACAGATCTCCAACATGAAGTTGGGTGAGGCTTGGCCCTGTGTCAGTGGTTCACAACCTTCCTAACACTGACATCCTTTAATACAGTTCCTCAAGTGGGGTCACCCCCAGCCATACATTTTTTTTGATGCTACTTTGTAACTGTAAATTAGCTATGGTTATGAATTGTAATGTAAATATTTGTGTTCCCCAATAGTCTTGGGTATCCTCTGTGAAAGGATTGTTCAATCTCAAAGGGGTCATGACCCACTGTTTGAGAACTGCCCTATGAGGTCTGTGATCATATTATCCACTTCATCTCACAAAACCACCAGCAACATCTTTATCACTTGCTAGTGATGCTTGCTAACATTTTGATATTGCCAGCTTCAATGGTTGCTTGGGAAGAGCTGAAGCCTGAGGCTACCCTGATGGTCCAGCCACTCACAGGTTACGTGTCCTTTATCAGAAATGCTTGGGACCAGAAATGTTTAGATTTCAATGTCTTTCAGATTTTAGAGTATTTGCATAGACTTTAATAGTGGGTTGGGATTTTTGGATTTGGGAATTAGGGAAGTTCAATCTGTGTAAGTGTTCCATAATATTTTATTGTCAAATATTATTGCCAGAAAATAGCGTATTTTGCCAAATAAAAGTATGGGCCTCCTTCTGCCTAAGGAGACCTACATAACTAAT